TATATATATATACATATACATACATACATACACACACGAGCAGGTGTGAAAATACAAAACACAGTCGATAAGATTGATCTGACGTGAACCACACAATGTTCGAGGTAAGGTAATCATGAATAAAAATAAAAAGTTACATTTCATTTTAATTATTTAATTACAAAAATATGGGGTATGTTACACAAAATCCTCAGAAATGACTAAGAAAGACAAAACCTGACTAAACAATTGTTCGCTGCTTCACCCGAGACAAACCTTCGGTGAAGCAATTATTCATACACAAATTCACCACCTAACCTAAAGAAGTCATTCTGACCATCCCTCATCTGAATGGTGAGGCCTTCCCTAATGGCCAACAAGTCTAAAGATAAATGTGTCATCTCCCTCCAAGTAGCAAGCATCTCCCCATGGAAAACCAGAGAACTCCTCACGCAAAGAGACAACCACTTTTTCCACCCGATGGACACTCTCCAAGACCTTTGCAACTCCCCTATAATTGTCTCCCTGAAGACATTCCATGGAATGAGCAAAATATTCTTCCACTTTAGCAAGATGACACCCAAACACTTACCTTCAACACAGTACAAATTCTGCCCTACACGTTGCTTCACAACATCCACCCCCCCCTCTCCCCCACACACACCCCCCCCCCCCCCCCCACCCCGCGCAACGTCTTGTTCTACGACGAATGCATCATCCTCAGGATCAACGTCGGTATTTGTCGATATAGAGCCGACCTTCAGGACTTCTATAGCTACATCAAAGAAAGAAATGCGAGCATTCAAGACACAATTCAAGCCACATACCTAAGATTTGGTTCAAATTAAACTTGGTGTAAGAGTTAGCACCCTCACTGGTCTTCCTTAACTCTCCACTCATTGGTGAGTGTGATGATCAAATCAGATGCCTTGACATTTGGAGTGATGTTTCTGCCCCGATCATCACCCTACCCTGACTATCTTAAGGAGTTGTTACCCCCACAACAATCTGGACGGGTGTTTCCTTCCCTTCCGTAGGAACAACCACTTTCGTCTGGTGCCCTTGGCCTTTAGTCTGCTCCAAAGTCCCCTCCTACAATGAGCCTGCAAGAAAATCAGGGCATCCGATTTGATCATCACGCTCACCAATTCTCGACCTCTGCACAGCCCTCTTCTTACTCATTTACCCCACGGAAGCTTCATCCTCCGGCTTTTGCTTCATGTCTAACTTTTGGGTCTTTGTCCGTATATCACTCATGGCCTTAAGGAAAGAATCTTTGTCAACGAATGACGCTCCATCACTGGACATTGTGACAAACACTTGCAGAAGAAGAGAAAATAACCAAAGAACAAGAACAAAGGAAGATGACGCAAACCCCTCTTATCCCATGGCTTATTTATAGCAGCCCGGGTATTGAAATCTATAGAAGTTTATTATTGAGTAATGATGTCATTTAATTTTTTTTATATTTTTTTTCTATTGGTTAAAAATATTCTCTTATTCTTAATGTGTTGTGCAACTTTCAAGAAACAAGAGAATCAAAAAATTAAATATATATACCAAAAATACATACGGATGACATGGAAGATTGGGGTTGCCGATCACATCACCGATCGTCCACAACCACTAATGACAGATGATTTTCAACTGATCGGCGGATATCCCAAGTGATCGATGACAAAAAAACTCTTTGATTCCCCAACAAATAGGACACTCATCTTCAACACATTTTATCGGACCACGTTCTCCCAAATGACGAAATGCTTTGCCAATGGCTCTACCATGGATCGGATGCCGATAAAAGAAAAGTGAAACAAAGAATTGGCCAACTTCTCACCGGTTTTGTCTTATTTGTGTAATATACTAAAAAGCCCCTCAAAAAGTTAATGATTAAGGAACATATTTGTAATTTTGTAAAACAACAACCCAATAGCTATAAATGAGGGATCCTCGTAATAAAAAGTTATACACTCATTATTGTACTCTACATCTCTTTCCTGGTGTGACATTCTATGCCTTAAGCGTGTTTCATGGACACTTTTGAATTCAACATTAATGAAGTTCAAATTTTAGATATTAGATATGTAAAAAATTAGAATTGTGTGGTATACATGTAAATTTCTAAATATCTGGCTAACGAGAGATGCTCGAAGTTATTTTCTTACAATTTCATCAATTACTAAATTTATCTTATAAAAAAAGAGGCTGCACGTTCGCAAGCGATGACGCCAGATTCCCAATTAATTATATCAACCATATTTTCCTTATGGTTCAAATATTCTTTATTTAATAAAAAAATTTAAATAATAATTGGAAATTGAGTTTCAAATTCATCTTGTCCACAAAGCTGTGAATAAGAAACCGACAGCAATAATTCTTTCTTCGAAATAGTCGCAGCCAACCGTGTTGAAAATTATATTGACTCTCCAAAATAAATAAAATATGTTCTGTTCGAAGGTATTGATTTGTCGCCGTTGGAGAGTTGGATTCACCGTCAACCAACAGTTCAATTTGAAGTCAATTTTGGAAATATATATCGTCTGCTGCAAGCAAGCTAATTAATATATATATATATATATATATATGAGTATATATATATTACGTTTTAATATTTGATTTTAACATGTGATCATTGATGATGTTCACGCTTAATCTATACTCCAACAATTAGCTTGAATATAGAGACTAAACAAATTCATTGGTTGTTAGTAGATAAATAAGCAATTAAATCATTTAAAAAATAAGGAATAGTTATATACATATAACATAATTATTATCTATTTACATTTATAAATTTATTTATAGGGCAATTAAAGTTGACTGGCCCGAAGCCTAAGCCCGAAGTAGGAAGGACAAAATCAAATCGTACAAACGTACTATAATTATTGCTGTAATTACGCACCCAAATTAATTTTAGCTAGCTAAAACAAGCCTAAGACCGTCAAGGAATCACGGCTCAACTCCGTTTCCAGTCGCGCACGGAACTAGACGAAACAAGAAGGAAACTCTGCGATTTTTATTTAAATTTTTATATTTATTTTTATAACCTTCTAATCTTCAATACATATACCCATGTAAGCCCGCCTTAAAACCATCTGTCTGATCCAAAAGATAGAGAGAGATATTTGGATTGATTATATAGTGCTTAGAAAAGAGAAGAGAAGATGGTGGGGGCGACAGCAGGAGCGGAGAGGGTGGAGGAGATGGTGATTGTGGGGGGAGGTATTGCAGGAATTGCGACGGCTTTGGCGTTAAAGCGAGTCGGAAAGGGTTGTCTTATTCTCGAGCGGTGGCACGAACTGCGAGAAAGCGGTGCTGCGGTTGGCATCCAGCCTAACGCTTGGCGTGCTCTTAACGCGCTGGGCATCGCCAACAAGCTCATTCCCAATTACGGCATTTTGCAGGGGTAAGTTTAGCCGAACATAACTAAAAATTTATTCATTTATATTAGATTCATTTTAACTCGAAATAACTAAATTATAGATAGATAGATTGGTCATTATTATTTTTTAAATAATTTAATTGGCTACAAGATTACAACGATTTAGAATCATTTAAAATTATTAATTTAAAAAATAGAATAACTATTTATTAAATTTTATTTAAATAAATATTTTAATATAAATAATAAGATTTAAATCTCACTTTAACACTTAAACATCCTGCAGCTGCGTGACCAGGGCCATCATAATAATTCATTGTTCATGAATAGCTTGTGTTCGGCTTTTAAGCTCAATATATAAATGAGCCGAACACGAACTGTTATACATAAATGAGTCAAACATGAACTGTTATATTATTAAACGAGCCGAACATAAATCAAGTCTAGGATCACTCAAGCTTGGCTCATTTATACCCCTAATTACGACCTTACTCTCAATCAAAATTTTTATGGACTTTGCTCTAAATATATTTTATTTGAGATTATTTATATTTCAGTAAATTCCATAGGATTTTTTGAATTTGTTTTCTTGTTCTTCCAGTACTCTCCCCACCCAATTTCTTTTTATTATTTATTTGATCTTTTTTTTTAACGTATGACAGTGGGAATGTGAGAAATCTCGAGACTGGAACTGTACAAAGGGTGGTTTTCGCAGGGTCATCGGACAGGTATTCCTGTTTGATAAACTTTGATTTAAATACTGCATCAAATTATTATTTTTTTGGTTGAATTTTAAGCTTTATGATTAATATTATGATAGGGAGGGGTATGAAGCAAGAGTAGTTCACAGGAAAGCATTGTTGGAGGCATTAGCCGAGGAAATTCCTCCGGAATCCATTCGTTTTTGTTCTAAACTAGCTTCAATCAGGACTGAAGTTGGCCCAGATTCTTCAAATATCACTGTTCTGCAACTAGAAGACGGAGACATTATAAAGGCAAAGGTATGTATACCTAAAAATAATTAAATTAAACTTCATAGGAGAGAGGCATATAAAATAACACACGTGCATGCAGGCGGTAATAGGTTGCGACGGCTTGCACTCGGTGGTGGCGCAGTGGCTGGGCCTAGCTCCTCCACGGCATTCCGGCCGGTCGGCAGTCCGCGGCCTCGCTGTGTTTCCTGAAGGCCATGGCTTAAATCACGAGGTTCAGACATTTTTAACCGCGGACAAAAGAGGCGGCTTCACTCCCCTTAACGACCACGATGTCTACTGGTTCATAGTCCACCTTACCACGCCCAAAGGTATAACTTTCTCATCTTTTCTCAATAACCTGCATTAGGAAAAGTTTTTTGGTTAGAGCGGCTTCGCATCGTTTATATATTAGCTTCAAAATATTCGTGTATGCTAATTTAACTGAAAAATTCTTCTAAAATATTGCGAGTTTAAGTTAGTTCATAAGAAGTAGGGCGTGAGTACTGGATAAAAAATATCAGTGTTTTTACGCCCGAACACAACTTGTTCATGAATAACGAGTCGTTTTAACAAGTTTAGTCGTGCAAATGGTTGGAACAAGATCTAATCTCATTATTTATATTAAAATATTCATTTAATTAGAATATAATATAATCTTTATCCTATTTTTTAATTAATAATTTAAATTAATTATAAATCTTTGTAGACGTGTGAATAATATATATATATATTTTGTTCACGTCGTTTATACATGAACACAGGAAATTATTTATATTTGACTCATTTGTTTAACGAACGAACATATCTTCCTTTAAAAAATTGATTTTGACAACCAGACAATAAGCAATACTATTCTCAAACAAAAGTATTTTAGAGACATCTCACCTCACTATTTATATTTTATAATACAATTAAAAATGATCATCATCTCAAATAGAAATAATTATATGTTTATATTTGAGCCAACTGTATATTAACAGAATTTCAAATTAAAATTTTTTTTTGCGGGACCTTTTTTTTTTTCTTTGAATTACGAGATATTTCAGTAAAATTAAGTATATTTATCTTATATCTTGAGACATATTTCTTCATGGCCATCATTTAAATTTTTGTACATGAATTTCAGTAAAAGAGATGGGGAGACATCCGGAGCTCATACAGCGCGAAGTCCTACTCAACTTAGCCGTTGATTTGCCTCCCAAGCTCACAGAAATGGTTAATCACACTGTTCCCTCAAGCCTGACGTGGGACCCACTTATGTTCCGTGCGCCATGGCAAGTCCTCTTCGGCCGGGCCCACCGCGGCTGCGTGACGGTCGCCGGCGATGCCTTTCACCCGACGACGCCGGACCTGGGCCAGGGAGCCTGTGTGGCGCTCGAGGACGCCGTGGTGCTTGCACGATGCCTCGCACGCGCGGAGTCTCCCAAGGAGGTGGAGGAGAGCATGGAGCGTTATGTGGCGGAGAGGCGGTGGCGCGTGGCCGGAATAATAACCGCTTCTTATTTTTCCGGTTCGGTTCAACAGGCTTCGGCCGGGGTCTGGACTCGGGTGGTTAGGTTGGTTCGGGATTTTCTTTTTTATAGGTTTATTTTCACGTGGATCTCGGGGCTTGCACGATTTGACTGTGGGAGCTTACCTAGGGTTGAGGAGAAGTGATTGAAAAATAAATGTATTATTGCATGAGGACACCTGATGTAAATTTGCATTAGGTGTCCAATAACAGGGGTCACGTGACAATTTGGGCTCGATTACATACAATATTCAGGCCCGGGTTGTCATATAACACCCTATTATTGGACATCTAATGTAAATTGGGACAGCGTTTGGTTATTAGCAGGAGTATGTGATTATATTTAAATTTATTATTAACTGTAATCTTATTTTGTAGTGCATTTAGAGCTCGTGTATGCTATTGTGATTGTAAGCTATGTAATTTTATAATAATTTCTGGAGCGCTCAATTTTACTCAAGTGATGACATCAATTTTTTTTACAATCAAATAAAATTTCAAAATATAATTTGGGCATCAAATTTTTTTTTTGCTCTATTATGATGTTATTCATTATTTTATTTTAATTTAATATTTTTGTACATTGGATGAACATGATTGATATGTGATATCTTTTTTATGCATCTCCCTCAAGAGCGAACCATTAACAATTCACCGCATCCTTAGAGATATAGGATTCATTTAATATCCATTTATGAGATTTCCATGCAAGACTAATCATAAACCTTTTACCCTTTCGACTTTGTACATAAAAATATGGCTGCACTAATCTCAAGGAAATTCAACATACACATAAATTGTATACTAAAAGATCGCGTTATCACTGTCAAAACATCAAACCATCAAACATGAGCTCATTCGGTTGGATTATAGGCCGATCAAATGATAGTATATCTGAGCTAATGAATGTTGTACACCAGAATCGACAATAATCGTATGAAATCGACTCAACCGATTTTGGGTCACTCACAAAAAAGATCAACGGTTGCTCAGTAGAACTCTTCAACCCTCTATGAAGACCTCTTGCTTAAAAAGAAGTTGTCTGTTAAATTATGATGATGCACCCCTCTATTTGATGGAATAAATCTTTACTAGGGATAAGGAGGTCTTCACCAAGGATTCCCCCCAAAAAAGCTGATCGAAGGACTTTAGCAAGCGACGATCAAATGACGCAGTCGAGCAGTTACGAATTTGACACAGTGCCAACAATAATTATATAGGCGAGACAATGCCAACAACAATTACCAAAGGCAAAATTACCAGCATCAGTTACGAATCTGTAAGGATGCAATGAGTCATTAGTTACTTGTAACATTCCAATTTAATCTGGAACAAACATATATTGTATTAGGCCTGGGACAAATATATAATTTATTAGACCTCACCTATGCCCTATAAATAAGGGGGCCATCCATTTGAGAAAGATAATTGAATCTATGCTAAGAGAATGTGTATTATTGTGTGGTTTATTCTCTCAACTCTTTTTTTTTTTTAATTTTTACCATTTCCTTTCATTCGTTCAACTCTATCGCCCAAAAGACATTTTGAGATTCGACAAGCACAAATACTTCTTTATTAAGCTTACATTTTTTGATCCAAATTGCTAACTTTTGATGAAGTTCAAAATGGTTATTGTTGGAACTTATCAAAAGAAGCCAAGTCTGACAAATTAAAACTTACTTTTTTTTATTTTTTTACTTCTACTTATATAAATTCACTCATGCATCCATTTTCATGTATTTTAATCTTTTGAGTGAATGAAGAAACACTACTTAGACTCAAGGATAAGGTTCCAAAAATCTTGTGAAACATTCAACTATAAGAACAAATAAAGAACAAGGATTCATAGGTGTTGAATTGGGGTTTAAATGCTATTATAAATATTAAATCAATTTTATATAATTTAAATTATAAAAAAATATCACAATAATCATAATTTTACTAATTCATTGCATAATATTCTAATTCACCATGCTTTGCTTTTGAATATTTTAAATATGATTTATCTATTCTTAAATTAAACAATTTGTTTATAGTCTTCTCATCAAAATAAAAAATAAAAGAAAAAAATGATCTATTTTTTGTACTGGGAGTTTGATTAAAGATCAAAGCAGAACATTGATTCAACGAATTCTCATTGGTTATATGTTGAAGTGATTATGGACCGAGTCGGCCATTGAATAAGGTCGGATTGATTAATCTCATCAATTTGCTTAAATCATGCTCAAGACTATAATCTTATTTATACTTGATTTGCTTCCAACAAATTTCCATCTTCCGACATGAATCTCGAGATAAACTTTTGAGTAAAAATGTTCAGATCTTGATAAAAAGTCATCCAGAGCTTTGTTTTCAGCAAACTTATAGTCAAACTGACAGACTCAATAAGATTGATCAAATGATATTAAAATTAGTCTAATCCAAACCAAATAAAGCCCCGATCAAGACGATAAATCATTGGAATTTTTTCAGACATATTTGGAAAGTCAAATAGATGACGAACCTGGCGAGCTTATATAGATGAATAGAACATCTTGGCGAGACGAATCCAATAAGCCCCATATCACTCAATTCTAATATCATTAAGGCAGACAAACGACCATTAAATGATGTCCGATCAAGTGAATCATTGTGGGTCGTTCGACTATAGTGGTTCAAATTCTATCATTAATTGCAATTAAGACTCTATAAAGAGAGTTCCACCCATATTGTGAGAGGGGGAAGCATGAGGCCTAAGGAAGAGCTTGAATCTTTGAGAATAAGCTAATGTTAACCATCACTTCTAACTTCGCTGATCATCGTCGACCATCACTTGTCGGCCGCCACCGATCACTAATGATCGCCGCCCATTTCTTATGACAAATTCCTTGGTGCATCGACTTTGTGAGATTTTGTAACTTTTTCCCACCTTTGGGACAAGAGGTTGAACTTGTAATCTTCAATTTATAAACTCTTCGAGTGGGTCAGGCCGCTTGTTTTTTTTTTCTTTCTATGTTTTCTACATAAAAACTTCTGCTACTTCTACTGGTTGTTTCTTTCATCTGAGTATGTGTTGGATTTTCGTGCAACGCCATAACAATAATCAATTACCCTACCGCCGTGAGTCTTCTAGCACACATAAATACTAGACTATATCTTATTTTAATCATCATAAAAATAATATAAACAAATATGTTTATCATCATACAATTTATAAAAATTAATAAGATGTCAGGAAAACTTGATAATATTTATTTTTAATATAATCAAGATTTTAATAGGATTAAGAAAAGTGAATAATATATAACATGTAGTTAAAATCTACAATGAGCCAAAATTTAATGTTTTGAAGATTTACAAACATAGCCTTCAATTCTCATGTAAATTCTTATGTATTTACATCTCTAACAACTCAATTTCAATCTATACCATCTTATCAAGGCATAAAAAATGTTTATTTCAAATTTCAGAAGCTAAAATAGTGTTATTTTTATATTAATATGAATGATTAGGTACTATAAATGTAAAAAAGTAAAGCTTAAATATTAGATATATTATAAATGCATATTATTTGCGTAGAATGCATGTAAATGGCCCCTAAAATTTTTCAGGAATAAACACTAAAGCCTTCCAACGGATGCTTGGATAACTCCAACCACTACTGGAATACCCCAGATTAGTTACCGGACATTTTCAGATGGAAAAAATCTTGCCGGAAAATGAATTTTCGACTTATATTGTTCTGTTGCTGAAGTTATTGACTGGTTTGCTAAGCCGACGTTTATTGAGCGGTTGATTTTTCAATCCATAAAGTTAGTATTTTTGAGCCAACAAATCATTATCTGCTGAAAAACTACCTGTAAATCAGTCGTTAACCTGTAGAAAAAAAAGCGTATTGAAATCTTTAGGGGGCGGTATGAATACTCACTGAAGATGTGACGATACTTCTTTGAAAAAAATTCAATTTTTTGCATGATCGGTAATTAGATTGTCAAATTCATCAGATAGAGCTAGTTCATCACCGCAGGGGTATTTCATCACGTAAGAGATGAGCTTACATGTGGGGCTTCAATTTCCACCAATTCTTGAGCTAGTGAACATTTTATTCGCATATGTATTGTGCCTTTCCCAACTTTCTTATTGAGATATGACAATCATTATGGGGTTAATTGTCGTCTTTAGGGACCCTGATACAATATTCTCATTGGAAATAGTAACAATGATAGACAAGCTCATTTCTGATGTTCAAGGACAGATGACTTACCAAAGCAAATGATTGAAATTTCAAAGAAAGGATGCATAAAAAATTGGGTCAATCAACGGTATGAAAAATGACTAGATATTTATGAGAAAAATGAAAAACTGATGCTCCTCAAGTTGCGAGAAGAGACATACTAAGAATTATCATATTTTGAAGTATCGAGGAATATCGGTTTGAGGTATACCATCCTACAAATATGTGATGGAAGAAATTTTTTGCAAAATAGGCATCTCCATTCCTACAAAAGTCTCCCACTCTGTGATGTTGGATATGTCAAAACAAGTAAAGGGGGAATCCGGGAAAGTGTCAATAGTATTGTGTGTGTGTGTGTGTGTGCGTGCGTGTGTGTGTGTGTGTGTGTATTGATAAATCATTTAAAGATTCATACTTCTAAGAAAGTGTTGAGTCACACAAGCAAGAAAATTTTACAAGTCGAGGAATATGTAATCATCTTTAACCCACTTTACCTTTATACTATTTTTTTTTTCCATGACTCACATATATTTACCCTCTTCAGGTAATAAAGGATATGAATTTTGATATCGAGTTGGTCATTTCCTTAAAAGCATGCAACACAGAGTTTAAAAAGATCAAACCCATTCTAGGCGAGTATAAACAAATATATAATGCTAGCGTTAAAAAGAAAATTATTTGGAAGATCAACTAATGGCATGTACCACTGAATTATCCACTATAATGGTTTTTCTCTCTCTATAAATTTGAGAGCTGAAGTATACTCGAGAAGAATTGATGGAGACAAGAGCTGATCTCAACTAGAGTACTGAGAAGTTGAGGAGTTTTCGAACGAAGATGTTAGCTAGTAGAATAAAAATATACAAATGAAAGTAGAAAAAGAATTCTATTGAGACTTCCGAAAAGGGATTCATTTGATGTATTGGTAGACATGAGTCAGTATCAAAGACCTAGCTTTCAGACAGGCGTTTTGTGATCCTCCTTCTCACTTGGAAGGGGGGAAACTAAAAGTCTCTTGTAGAACCAAGTCCCTAACAAAAAGTAAAAATATGTGGATTTAGGTTAATATTTTATTCTTATTGACTCGACATAACTTTTGTACTTTATAATAGTATGCTTAGCTTTGTAGTTCTTTATTTACTTGATGTAGTATTTATACTTTATAATAATGTGTTTGTTTGTAAAGTTCTTTGTTTGCTTGATGTAAGCATATCAATTTCCTATAACTTGCTGCTCATAGGAGACAAAACCATTAAAAGTCTTAAGAAAAAAAAATTATTCCAGTAGAAGTATTTCTCATTGTAGGAGTAAAATTACATCTAACTCTTTGAAGGTTTATACCTTATGAGATTTTTTGAGTATATCTATACCTTCTGAGGTATATAATATTCTAAGATTTTTTAGTAAGCTTATAACTTTTGAAGTGTATTACCTTCTGAATTTTTTAATATGCATATACCTTTTGAGGCTTATAGCCTTCTAAGTTTTTTTAATGTTTATGTACCTTCCAAGGCTTATGAACTTCTAAGATTTTTTAGTGTACCTGTATCTTTTGAAGCTTATAGCTTTTTGAGGTTTTTTGAGTGTACATATTATCTTTTGAGGTTTATAGAATTCTGAAATTTGTTAGTGTACATGTACCTTCTAAGGCTTACAACATTCTAAGATTTTTTAGTGTACATGTACCTTTTGAGAGGCTTATAGTCTTCAGAGAGTTTTTAGTGTTCACGTAACTTCTATAACTTATAGCCTTTTGAGGTTTTTTGAATGGAGTTTCTACCAACCACTTTCTCTCATGGAGGCTTGTTAGTGAGGACCTTATCCATTATTAGCTTCCCATTGATACTGCTTGATTTTTTATCTTTCAAGGGTTTAAGTGGAGACCATGTATGTCACTTTCCCTCAAGAAAGTTTCTAGTGAGAACTGTGTCCACCACTAGCTTCTCATCGATAATATCTCATGGGCATGCCTTCTAGGAGCATAAGTGGAGATTGTGTGTTAGTCATTTACCCTTAAAGGGTCTTTCTAGTGAGGACTGTGTCCAGTACTAACGAGGACTGTGTCCACTACTAACATTCCATCAAGACTATCTCATGGGCATGCCTTCTAGGGGTATAAGTATAGACTGTGTTTGCTACTTACCTTCAAGTGGTCTTTCCATTTATGACTGTCTCTATGACTAGCTTCTCATTGAGACTACCTCATGGGCTTTTCTTTATTGGGTATAAAAAAAGATTATGTCTGCCACTTTCCTACAAGGGTCTTTAAAAATCCCTTAAATTGTAATTAATTGTTATATAAATAATTTAACAAGTTTATCTAAGTTGTGAAAGACTTATCGGTGAGTGGATAAAGCAAAGTATGTGCTTGGAATTTAAGAGTAACAGAATATACTATATACAAAATTTCATCAGAAGCTCGTTGCGTGATGCTTTGATCAATGTGTTCGTATAGATTAGATGTCATATCATAAATTAATGCTTGGAAGCTTAAAACTCTGTTGGAATAGGGTGTTGAAGGACTATCTCAACCCATATCGAAGACTTTTAAAAATTATGTCAAATAGAAAAATGACTTCTTGCACTAGCAGACATAAATTGTCATGGATTACGTGAGGTCATGCTAAATTTTTCATATGTGTTGGAGGTTTACTGCTAGGCTTACTATGTGGAATGGATGTGTAGAGGTTCCAATGTCCATTAGGTCAGCTTCTTTAGGAGGAACTCCAGTACATGGAGGGGGTGTTAGTTATGTATCGCTAATTAGTGAATTTCAATTGTCATTCCATGTTATAATGTAACTAATGCTTCAATTGTAGGTTCTACCCCTCCAGGACGCCGATCATGAAGATCATCCGGAGCAGCTTCGAGAGAGATAGAGGGGGATGGCTAGCCAAACCTCACTGTCCACCAACAACATTGGTAGTCATTCTACCACTGCTCGGTCCAATTTTGAGTTGTGGAGGCAGGCAATGGGGAATAATAAGAGGTGAGTGTAAGACCACAAAGCAAAGAGGATAACATTTGTGGTCGAGCACTTTCGTGCAGTTGTGGGCCCTAGCTTGTTACATGCTCGACATGAGGAGATTGTCAGGTAAGTCATGAAGATGAATGAATGAACAGTTCTGACAGGTGCACGAATGCCAACAGATGGTTGTAGATAGTCTAGCGTAACTGACGGAGAGTTTTGATTGTCAAGGTAAATGACATATGAGTGTTGTCTGGAGGATGAGGAGGTGAGGAACATGATGATGATGAAGAGCAAGATTTAAACTTTTTTTTGTGTTTGATGATGTCCTCCATACATAAGGGCTGATTTTATGTTTTATTTTCAATTCTTTTTAAGCGAACTTTCAATTTCTTGTGTTGTGAACTTTAAACAGTTTGATCCTTTTATATTTAATCTAATTTAGTTTCGTTATGTAAATATGTTGGAGATTTCTTATCATATTAGGTTGCTTATGTTTGTTATAAACAGGTATGTGAAAATACGATCGTTTTGATGTTTTTTTTTTATTTCTTACAGATTTGCATCGGATTTGCATCGGATTAGCGTCGGAAAGTTCTAACGCTAAAACCTGCAATCAGTCAATCGATAGTTGTTGCCGCCAAATCGACGCAGGAATGTCGAACCTAGGCAACTCTAATTAGTGAACATGTTTGACAATAATTAGAGTCCACCTTATCCGATGGTAATTCACGTCATCCAGTTTCGATGCTCCCGCGCCGTTATGTTAGCGTCGCCCCTATTTTCGACGAAATTTTTAGTGATGGAATTTTGTGATGCAAATTCGGAAGCCAATAAAAATCTGATGCAAATGTCGACGCAAAATCAATTAGTGATGCCCAATTTAATGTTAATTTTTTTCGACCTAATTTGACGCTAATCGGGCTCAGTGTCGGAAAATAGTCTGATTAGCATCGAAAATGTCGGACGCCAATCGGGCAATTTCCTGTTGTGACACAAAAATGCTCAGAAATTACCTGTAAATGTATTAAATTTTCATCCAAAATCTAATTAATAAACTTATTCAAAAGGGTGGTTGAAATTTAATAGAATGTTGGATATCATCATAGATAAAAAACTAACATAAATGAAAAGAATCAAGGAGATATATGCTCTAAATCAGAAAATATCATAGCAAATCAAATAACGAAATATTACTTCTAAATCATTAAATATCAAAGTCAAAATAAGTTATCCACCAAGATGCAATGAAATAAATGATCCAGTTCGAAGACAAATACAGAAATACAAACCACAGCAAAAAGATTAAATTTCCATCCAGAAGCTAAACAGAAAGAAAGGAAGACCAAGCTGCCAACAAAATATCAGTAACAGAACATAAAGTAAAGAGAAGACCAACTAAGAGAATCCTCTGTAAAAGAAAAAAAACTCCAAGTAACCAACAATCAACAGCATCTTACTTATCCAAAATTGTTTAAACTTAATAAAACATGCAATCCATAATTATCAGATACACAGGCGATCAAGCCATACAAAACCTGCACTTACTGACAACTGAAAGCAAACAGCACACGTGAGAATGGAACACAAATTAAACCATATGTAGATAATTAATTAAGTCTGAAGCTTCTTCTTGCTCTCGGCCTCCTCTTCTTCCTCTTCCTCCTCCTCCTTCTCCTTCCCTTCCTTTTTCTCATGGCGTTCATGGCAGGGGGAGGCCGCGCAACACACCCCTGCTCCTCCTCTATATTGCTCTTTTGGCTGTGTTCTGGTTCTGTCCTGGCCTCTTCTTTCTCGTACTGCATATGTTACTTTCATCATTTAAATTGATAACTCTTATTAAACATATAGCCAACCAAATCATGTTATTTATGCAGCACTTCTGATAATTTCACTCTTAGAAAAGCTCAGATAAAAATTAGAGATTGAAAAAAAACATTAAAAAAGTATAAAGCCAAGGTTTTTTTAGCTAAATTTTGCTCAAGTTGGAGTAGGAATGACTCTCTCGTATTGCAAAAAATATTTTTCGATTAAATAAAATGAATTTGAGTTTTTATTTGTCGTGAAATGAAAGAGAAATGTCTTGCCATGTAGCTTAACAAAACAAACTCATGTAGAATGCCAAAATTAATAGTTATAGAATTATCAAATTAAGGGGATGCTTGGCTGCAATAAAGATTTGTAGTGCGGTGGCTGTATGACACCGCATCACAATTTTATCTATTTGTCTAAACTGCGTTCTGACAGTTTTTTAAAAAGCTGCCCCTGAAATCTACGTTTTACCGCTGGCCCTGACTAGGTGCGATGACAATTTTCTAGATACCGCTGGCCCTGACTAGGTGCGATGACAATTTTTTAAAGATCAAATTATTTTTTAGCACCTTCAAAACTGTTTTTAATAAACTGTAGTCGCCTCAAACAGACCCTAAGCCTTGCTCGATTTATCAAATCCAAATTTTTAACATGAATCCAAGGCCATGAAAACTACGTTTTCTTATGTTTTGTTGGATTTAATAAATCCTGATGATAAATACAATTAATAAGGCACTACCAAACACCTTTTAAATCTTCCTTAAGAAAGCGTACCAAATCAAAGTCATCGTCGGTGAGAGCGTCTATCTCGCCGAGGTGCTCCTTATCCTTACTTTCTCTCTTCACCTTCTCATTATCTTCTACACTCTCCTCTATCGTGTGCGAGTAACCGCCGCCGCCGCCGTACGCCACTTCATCGGAAATCCTCTCCTTCTCTTCTTCCTTGTGGTGGCGCCCGAAGAGCTGGCGGTGCTGCTTCTCCTCAGCCATTGGATGAGAGATGAATGGAATGATGGCAATGAAGGACAGAGAATTTTAAGGGAAGTTGGCGATGGTTTTCTAATCATATAATGCTAGTGTTACTTATACTGGGAGAGTGGGCGCAAGGGATGTGGAGATGGACGGCGGTGATTTCTTAGAATCGGTATTAGAATTTGGTTCTGTGAATCGGGTTCAGAATTTGGTTCTGTAAATAATGGAGTTTTTATGGCCGGCGGTATCTAACATCATAACATGGACCCTTTGGCGTGAAATATTATTCGAAATTTGTTATAGAGTTATAAATAGAAAATACAGATTTTTTTTTTATTAAACAGTATTCATTCTATTTATTTTATTTAAATTTAATTAGCTGAATAAATATTATTTATTTATTAAACATGAAAAATAATTTATAAAATATGGTATTATATTTTGAAAGATTTAAATTTGTGTATTCTTTTCATTAATTTTTAGAATATAAAAACAAAATTTTTTTTGAATAATTCTTCGGTATGCCTAATGAAATCTTTGATTCTTTAATATAATAGTCGAGGTCACTGATTTTCTTTGGGTTTTTACTGATACATGTAATTCTTAGGTGTGCCTAATGAAATCTTTGATTCTTTAATAGTCGAGGTCACTGATTTTCTTTGGGTTTTTACTGATACGTGTAATTCTTAGGTATGCCTAATGAAATCTTTGATTCTTTAATATTATAATCGAGGTCACTAATTTTCTTAGGGTTTTTACTGATGCATGTGTGTGTGTGTGTGTGCGCGCGCGCGTGTGTGTGTGCATTTGTATCAAACAATTTATATCATCGGGGATAAATATTTTCTTAATTTTCAAATTTAAAACACTCAAATATTTATATCATGGGGATGTTATTTGTGGAATTCACATTGCTTGTTGAATTGGAGGAAGGCATCATGTATATTGTTCAAAGTGATGGAGATACAGATGAGAATATTATAATTTGAAGAATTTACATTGAATTATTAGTAGAATTCAAGTTGGTTGGTTGAAGTGGATGAATACATTTGGTATGTTGTTTGATAAAAAAGTATGGCTTATACTACAAGGAAAATTTTATATGACGGTGCTAAGATCTACAATGTTCCATGGCGTAGAATGTTGCCCTTTAAAAGAGAATCATAAAAAAAAAGATAATTGCTGCTAACTTGAGAATGCTTTGGTGGATGCATATGTACCTGGACACTTAGAGACAAATGATAAATTGATATATATGTGATAGGTTTGTTGAAATCGATGGCGGACAAAATTAGATAGAGATGTTTTAGACATGGTTTGATCACCTTAAATGTCGACCAACTGATGAGCCTTGGAAGATCCCGAGATCTGCTTGACCAAGTATTGTCGACTTCAAATATTGATCAGTTTTAATTAATTTTTATTTTTCGTAATAATTGTACTGGTTTGTAAAACTACATATATGTTGTAGATGAATATTCATAATTTGAGAGCTTGGATGTATATTAGATTATATCCAGGATGAAAAGGACTCAGTGATGAGTTCTTGAATGGTGTTGAGGAATTCGTTTAGGTGGCATCACATCTGTCAATTTATCGTTCAGAGAGTAAGTTCTGGTGTTTTTGTACGAAGCACAAAAATCAAGCGTATTTGTGACCCGAAGAAGTTAAATTAGACCTTTACCACAAGGGATTCAAACCAAATAATTGGTATTGGACTGCACATGGTGAACAAAAACCAGAAGTTCAGTACGATCAAGAAGGTGCCTCAACAAGTTATGTCCCTCTAGTAGAGGAATATGATCCTGGCACATACGAAGAAATGGTTCATGATGCTCACAAAGCTCATTTTGTTGAGTGTTCCATACAAAAATGAAACAAAAATGAAATACCAAACAACGAATCACAACAATTCTATGACTTATTATTGCACAACAACTTTTATGGGATGGTTGTACTACACATATGGATTTATCAGTGGTGCTGAGAATGTTGAGCATCAAATCTGATTTTAACATTCCTAGAGAATCATTTAGTCAATTAGTAACATTACTGAAAGAGACAAACCCTATAAGAAATTTAGTGTTGGATGACCTGTACAGAACATAAAAGTTAGTATGAAAGTTAGGGTTATAAATTGAGAAGATTAATTGTTGTGTTAATGATTGCATGATATATTACAAGGTCGATGCACTCGAGACGATTTGCTGAATTTGTGGTGCTGATAGATTCAAACAAAGGGGGCAAAATGTTAAAAATCAAAAAAAAATATTCCATACAAACGTCTCTTTTATTTTTCGCTCATATCCCGACTTTAGAGGTTGTTCAAATCTATGCTACAGCTCCTCACATGACTTGGCACAATAATGGATCAATTGATACTAATTGGACGAGTCATTCGTCACATGGTGAGGCATATATACATTTTGATCGTACTTACCTAAACATTACAGCTGAAATACGCAATGTTAAACTTGGCTTATGTGTAGATGGTTTCACCCCATAAAGTCATGTTGCAACCCTATATTAATGCTAGCCATTAATCATTATATTGTACAGTTTGGCCCCAATATGTGCATAACCATGTCTTTCTTATTTCTGATATTGATCATACCAAGTTCACAAAGCCTAAAAGGGAAATCGACGTCTACTTACAACCTTTGATCATATAACAATATTTTTGTATTTATTATTTTTTTATCTGCTTGATGTGGCATTCATACTTTCCGATAGTGTGTTAGTTTGTAAAATTTGTCTGTTTGATATAAGAATGTTGATATATTTCTCCCAATAAGATTATAGTGACATTAAACTCTTGTGAGTCTTATGCCTTTTGAGATCTTTTGAGTGCATATATATATATAT